CCGTCTGGAAAGCCGCGTGGACAGTCCGAAGCAACAGATGGAGTACAGACGGGCTACCTCCACAGAGCACGCCGTAGCGCACTGGGCAAGGCATCGGGCTCACGACCATGAGGTCGGGAGGTCGATCCCACCTGTCGTAAAAGCAGTAGAGGGACTTTCAACAATTAAGCCCGTAGGCGGTTGACTATGAAATATATAGAAGAAGAAAACAGGCGCAGAAAATATTTTTTCCTTCCATATATGACGTCAGAAACATGTGGGTAAAAATTACAGAAAACGTTCGTAAACATATTTACAGAAGCGTTTGGTATCAGCCTAGTTTTATTCTTCAGCAAAGCAGAAGGGTGGGGTGTAGTCACGGTGTTGCCCCGTTATAGTCTTTTGTCATGACCGAGGAGCGAATTTCTTGGGCCGCAGGCCCCCCGCTGGACCCTTCAGTTTACTCGAATATGCAAAGTGATTTACCGGTCACATTATTTATTTGATTATGCACTTCAGTAACTCGCCAGACTGAAATGGTTCGGCCGAAGGCCCGACCATCGCCGCCGGCAGCCCAAGAAGGCCCGGCCCCTGCCGAACGGAGTTGCCGGCGCAGCGAAGTGGAGCTGGCAACTCCGTTTGGCGGAAGGGTGGGCCTGCTTGTTTCACCCTCCTCCACTCTAGGGGTTGCACAGCTCGACAGGGGTGGCCAACGGCTTGCGCACTTTCAGAGCCTCGAGATGAATGATTGGGACGCCTGCATGCCAATTCTTATCTTCCGTACTCAAAAAACATAGAATCTACGTCAGTTTGAAAAATACACCCGCTAATTTTGATGAGTAGTGTATATATATAAACAGAAAACAGCCGCCGAATTTTTTTTCTTCCATATATTACGTCAGAAACATGTGGGTAAAAATTACAGAAAACGTTCGTAAACTTATTTACAGGACCGTTTGGTATCAGTTTTACAGAAATTTTGTGGAGTTAGTCTTACTAGTGTCTGTAATTTTACAGACTATGGTAATTTTACCAGACTTTTACATGGCAACTGGTATACCGAGACTTTTCCAGTAAAATCTTCACAAAATGTTTTAACAGTGTACTGAGGATGAATATTTTGCAATACCTGATAAGGAAAGGGATGTAACGAATAACTGACTAAGCAATTTCTAGATAATTGGCTGAGCGATAGCGAAGCCTATTACTCCAGTGATGATCAAAAAGTTTCGCGTCTGTCTGTCTGTCTGTCCGTCTGTCTGTCTGTGTGTTTGTCTGTAATCACGATAACTCGAGAACGGTTTGAGCTAGGTACCTGAAATTTTTAGTGTAGCTTTGTATTATAAAAAG